TTTTTTTTTTTTTTGTCGGTCGTGGGACTTGAACTCTGGGCCTGGGAGCTGTCCATCAGCTCTTCAGCTCAAGGCGAGCGCTCTACCACTTGAGCTACAGCACCACTTCCCCTAATGTTTTGCTGGTTAGAGATGGAGTCTCATTGACTTTTCTGCCTGGGGGTTGTTTTGAACCCGGATCCTCCAGGTCTCAGCCTCCTAAGTAGCTCAGATTACAGGTGTGAACCACTGGGGCCTGGCTCTGCTTTTGGCTTTTTTTTGCAGGGCGGGGGGGGGTCAATTATGGGGCTTGAACTGTGGGTCTAGTCACTGTCCCTGAACTCTTCAGTTCAAGGGGAGCACCCTACCACTTAGGCTACAATGCCACTTCCAGTTTTCTGGTGGTTAATTGGAGATAAGTCTCATAGACTTTTCTGCCTGGGCTGGCTTTTGAGCCACGATTCTCCGATCTCAGCCTCCTGAGTCACTAGGATTACAGGCATGAGCCACCAGCTCTTGGCTTCCATGAGTACATTTCTTTTTGGACAATGTCGCCCCTTTCCTTGCGCTCTCCTAGTTTTTCCCTCCTGCCCTCTCCTACAAGCATTATAGTTCATTTCATTATAGTTCAACAAAGTTTCTACTGAGCACCACTGCTGTACCTTATGTCCCTACATTTTTGTGTCATCCCTTACCCTCCCAAAGTTGGAAAAACAAACAAGATAAAAAAAAGAAAAGAAAAGAAAACCCCTCATTTTCATTTCCTGGAGTTTAGTTTAATAAATATTACTTCATAACACTCTGAGCCCCAGAAGCGTTGAACCTTTGTGTTGCTCCCCTATCTCCTTTGGTCTTGCTGTGTGTGAATGCTTAGAGAATCCTGTATAATTTTTTTTGCCAGTCCCAGGACCTGGGCACTGTCCCTGAACTTCTTTTGCTCAAGGCTAGCACTCTATCAGTTTGAGCCACAGAGCCACTTCCAGCTTTTTCTGTTTTAAAGTTTTTTTTTTTTGGGGGGGGGACCTGGTCCTAGAGCCTGAACTCTGGGCCTGGGCGCTGTCCCTCAGCTCTTCAGCTCAAGGAGAGTGCTCTACCACTTGAGCCACAGGGCCACTTCTGGCCTTTTTCTTCTGCTTATGTGGTGCTGAGGAATCGAACCCAGGGCCTCATGTATGCAAGGCAAGAGCTCTACCACTGAGCCACCTTCCCAGCCCCCAGCCTTTTCTGTTTATGTGGTACTGAGGAATCGAACCCAGGGCTTCATGCATGCTAGGCAAACACTCTACCACCAAACCACATTCCCAGCTCCTAGAGTATAATTTATCATGTATTTTAGATCTAGCTTCCACATGTGAGCTTGGCTCATATGTCTTTCTGAGCTTGGCTTACCTCATGATTTGTTCTAGGTCTATCCATTTCCCTGCCAATGTCATACTATTTTTCTTTCCAATGGCTGTGTAAAATTGCATTGTGTATAGGTACCATGTTAAAAAAAATCTACTCATGTGTTGTAGGGCATCTGGGTTGTTTCCATAACTTGGCTATTGGGAACAGTACAGCAATGAACATGGATGTATAAGTGTCTTTATGGTATTCTGGCTTGCCAGCACCAAAAATTACAAATAAATAAAGGGAAAGAAAAATCAGCTAGGCCAGGTGCTGATGGCTCATGTCTATAATTCTAGCTACAGGAGGCTGAGATCTGAGGATTATGGTTTGAAGCCTGGGCAGGAAAGTATGTGAGACTCTTCAGTTAGCCAACAAAAAGCTGGATGTGGAGCTGTGGATCAAGTGGGAGAGCATCAGCCTTGGGTAAAAAAGCTCAGAAACAGTGCTTAGGCCTTGAGTTCAAGCTCTCGACCAGCAGAGAGAGAGAGAGAGAGAGAAAGTGAGAGGAAGAGAGAGAAGAAAGGAAGGAAGGAAGGAAGGAAAAGAAGAGAAAGAGAACAAGGAAGAAAGAGAAAGAGACAGAGGAGTTGGGACATTGACAGGTGAATGGCAAATCCTGGCTGTAAGGACTTTCTGGAAGCTATAGGAGCCCCCCACCCCCTCTATCCCTGCTGCTGCCATCTGATCCGAATGGCACTCCTCTGCCTCTTGTCACAGTTCAGCAATGTGTCCTTCTTCTTCTTCGGGCCCCTTTTGCTCGTCCTGATGCATCCCTACGCCAAGCAGCGGTCCAGAAACATCCAAGGGGTCTGCGTCCTCTTCATGTTCATAGGTGGGTGGAGCATGTGTAGCAGGCCTTTGGGGGCGGGACCAGAGAGGGTGGGGCCCACGAGAGACTGACCAATGGGGAGGGGATGTGGGCGGGACCTTGGGGCGGAGGCGGGCCAGAGGGACCTACCTACGGGACGATGAATGGGCGGGGCCTGCGGGGGCGGGGCCAGAGGGGCGGGGCCCGAGGGGCGGGGCCGGGTGACCCACCTGACCTGCTGCTTCCCCTCCTCTCGGTCCCCAGGCCTGTTCTCCATGTACTTCCACATGACGCTCAGCTTCCTGGGCCAGCTGCTGGATGAACTCTCCATCCTATGGCTCCTGGCCTACAACTACGGCTTGTGGATGCCCCGCTGCTACTTCCCGGCCTTCCTGAAGGGCAACAGGTGGGCGGGGCCGAGGGGCGGAACCCGCGCTGTCGGCCCTGCCCCCTCATCTGCTCTCCCCTTTCCCTTCCCCTAACCTGGGATTCTCTGCAGTCCCCACCTGACTGGGTGAGCCTGGGACCTTCTCCAAACTGAATCACCTGGGGTGAGGGGGGGGGGTGCCCGGGACTCCCAGGCCTAAGATCTCTCACCAGGATTGGAATCTTTCCTTTCCTTTCCTTTCTTTTCCGTTCCGTTCTGTTCCTTCCCTTCGCTTCCCTTCCTCCTTTTCCCCCTCCTTTTTTTTTTCTTTGGCAGTACTGGAGTCTGAACTCAGGGCCTTGCACTTAGTAGGCAGGCATTCTAGCATTTGAGTCATGCCTCTAGACTTTTTTTTGTCGGTCGTGGGGTTTGAACTCTGGGCCTGGGCGCTGTCCCTGCGCTCTTCAGCTCAAGGTGAGTACTCTACCTCTTAAGCCACAGCACCACTTCGGTTTTCTAGTGGTTTATTGGGGATCAGAGTCTCATGGACTTTTCTGCCCGGGCTGGCTTTGAACTGTGATCCTCAGATCTCAGCCTCCTGAGTAGCTAGGATTACAGGCCTGAGCCACCGGCACCCGCATTTAGACTTTTTAAAAATATAAATATATTCTTTTAAATTTTCTTTAGATAGTTGTACAAAGGAGTTGTCACCCAACAGAGCAGTGTATGAATACAGTGCATCTTGATCAATGTCCCACCCTACCCCTTACCTCACTTTTCTTTTTTCTTTTTCTTTTTTTTCTTGGTCGTGGGGCTTGAACTCTGGGCCTGGGCACTGTTCCTCAGCTCTTCAGCTCAAGGCTAACACTTTACCACTTGAGCCACTTCTGGCTTTTTTCTTTTTGCTTATGTGGTGCTGAGGAGTCGAACCCAGGGCCTCAAGCATTCAAGGCAAGCGCTCTACCACTGAGCCACCTTCCCAGCTCTCTTACCTCACTTTTCTTAAATTTCTTTTGGTCAGTCGTGGGGCTTGAACTCTGGGCCTGCACGCTGTCCCTCAGCTCTTCAGCTCAAGACAAGGGCTCTACCACTAAGCCACATTCCCAGTCCCATGCTTTTAGTTTCTTATTGGATAAAAGTCTCATGGTTTTGCCCAAGACCTGCCTCGGATCAAGATCCTCCTAACCTATGCCTCTTATTTAATTTTTTTTTTTGTCAGTCGTGGGGCTTGAACTCTGGGCTTGGGTGCTGTCCCTCAGCTCTTCAGCTCAAGGAGAGTGCTCTACCACTTGAGCTACAGGGCCACTTCTGGTTTTCTGGTGGTTTATTGGAGATAGGAGTCTCACGGTCTCTCCTGCCCAGGCTGGCTTTGAACCTCGATCCTCAGATCTCAGCCTCCCTGAGTAGCTAGGATTACAGGCATGAGCCACCAGTGCCGGGCTCCTATGCCTCTTATTTAGTAGGCATCATTTGTTGGTTAAGATGAGATTTTTCAGGCAGACCTCAAACTATGATCCTTCTAATCTCCACCTCCCAAGAGGCAGAGATGTGGAACGACAGATGTGGGCCATTCAAGCCTGACTCTGGGATCTTTCATCTTATCTTCCTGGGGCCTTCTCCTGACCTGACTGGATTCTACACTCACCTCAGGCTTTTCTGGAACTAATCCCGCTTGAAGGCACCACTCTCCTTCACTGACTTGTCCAGGACTCCTTTCCCTGAAACACCCTTATCATCTCCAGTCCCTGTGATCTCCTGGCCCCCTGAGATCCTTCATTTGAGGGCTCCTAAGTTCTCCTAGATGATGAACTTGGTGGTCCTGCTTCTGAGTCCACCTGAGGCTTCAAGCCTTCACCAACCCACTGGGTTTCATGGGACCCTGTCTTTGTTCTACTGAGCCCTTCCAGGGGGGCCCTCTAGCACATACCTGGGAAGTTCTGAGCCCACTGCAGGGTGACCCTGCAGGGGTCCAGGCCTTCAGGCCCTCCCTCCCCTGCCAACAGAGTCACTGTCCCACAGGTCCCACTTCTACAGGCTGGTCGTGATCACCACAGTGATCAGCTCCTTCATGTCATTACTGAAGCCCGTGGCCAATGCGTACGCCCTCAACAGCATTGCCCTGCATATCCTCTACGTGTTACACCAGGAGTACAAGAAGTGAGTGGGGTAGGGGGACTGCAGGTATGTGTGTGTGTGTGTGTGTGTGTGGTCTCCCTCTTCTCCAAACACCCCTTGCTATTTCCCCTGCTGACCTGATTGCAGACTCCTAGAGTGTTTGCCCCCCCTCCCTCTCCCCCTCCCCATCACACAGCAATAAGTTCAGGGCAAGGTCTTGAACTTAAGTCTGTCTGGCTACAGCTTGGTCTGTTGTGGATAGAACCCCTAAAATATACATCAAAGTAGTGAAAATTACTCCCCATGCCAGCCTCAGCATCATAGCTAGACCCCATCTCAATGGTTGGGGGGTGGGGAAGATGAGGTTTATTTTGGTCACCATCCAACTTGCTTGCTTTTCTTTCCCTCCTTCCCTTTTTCCTTCCTTTCTTTCCTTCTTTATTTTTGTGTGCCAGTCCTGAGTATTGAACTCAGGGCCTAGGCACTGCCCCTGACCTTTTTTACTCTACCATTTGAGCCACACCACCACTTCTGGCTTTTTCTGCTTATGTGGTACTAAGGAATGGAACACAGGGTTTCATATGTGTTAGGTAAGCGCTCTACCACTAAGCCACATTCCCAACCCCTGCCCTTGAACTTTTTTGCTCAAGGCTAGTATTCTACATTTGAGCCACAGCTCTACTTCCAACTTTCTGGTGGTGAATGAATAGAGCTGAGATTCTTATGCATTTCATGTCTGAGCTGACTTTGAACCATGATCCTTAGACCTCAGCTTCCTGACCTTCTGAGTACTGTTCCTGAGCTTCTTCTGCTCAAAGCTAGCACTCTACCACTTGGGCCACAGCGCCACTTCTGGCTGTTGTTGTTTGTTTGTGTGTTTATGTGGTAGTGAGGAATCGAACTCAGGGCTTCATGCATGCTAGGTGAGCACTCTACCACTAAGCCACATTCCCAGCCAGCCTGGCCTTTGTGGTGTGTGTGTGTGTGTGTGAATCGAACTCAGGGCTTCATGCATGCTAGGTGAGCACTCTACCACTAAGCCACATTCCCAGCCAGCCTGGCCTTTGTGGTGTGTGTGTGTGTGTGTGTGTGAGAGAGAGAGAGAGAGAGAGGGAGGGAGGGAGGGAGGGGGGAGAGTGAGTGTTCTGAAGCTTGAACTCTGTGCCTGGGCTCTGACCCTGAGCTCCTTCTGCTAACGGCTAGTGCTCTACCAGGGCCACTTCTGGCTTTTTCTGTGATTAATTGGAGATAAGAATGTCATGGACTTTCCTGTTTACAAACTGTGATCCTCAGATCTCAGCCTCCTGAGTAGCTAGGATTACAAGCATGGGCTCCTGGCACCTGGTTTGTTTTTGTTGTTGTTGTTTGTCAGTCCTGGGGCTTGAACTCTGGGCTTGGGCACTGTCCCTTAGCTCTTCAGCTCAAGGCTAGCACTCTACTACTTGAGCCGCAGTGCCACTTCCAGCTTTTTCTGTGTATGTGGTACTGAGGAATGAAATCCAGGGCTTCATGCATGCTAGGCAGACACTCTGCCACTAAGCCACATTCCCCACTCTCCCTGAGCTTTTTTGCTCAAGGCTAGCCCTCAAGGCTCTACCACTTTGAGCCACAGGGCTACTTCTGGTTTTCTAGTGGTTAATTGGCAATAAAACTCTCACGGACTTTCCTGCCCAGGTTGGCGTTGAACCACGATCATCAGATTTCAGTCTCCTGAGTAGCTAGGAGTAACCGACCCACCAGCACCTGGCTGCCTGATAGTTTTAGAGATTTCGGTTCATGGTCTGTTGTCACTGTTGCTTTGGGCCTGAGTGGTACCATCAAGGCAGCAGTGCCTGGCTGAGCCATATCATTCACCTCACAGCCAGGGAGTGTAAAGGGTTCCACAGTTCCCTTTGAGGACATGCCCCCAATGACCTAAGCTCTACCACTAAGCTCCACCTCTTAAAGGATCCACACCTCCCAACAACACCAAGCCTGGCGGTGAGCACCAGCACCTTTGTGCCCTTCATCTGTCCTCTTTTCCTCCGAACCTCATCTCCTCAGGTGTTGGAATGTCCCATCAACCCCTCTGGGTGCTGATGTCTGAGGCGGGCCTGAATTCCATCCTTCTCTCCCCAGGACCAGCAACAAGGAATTAAGGCACCTGATTGAGGTATCCGTGATTCTATGGGCCATTGCCATGACCAGCTGGATCAGTGACCGAGCGCTGTGTGGCTTCTGGCAACGGATTCATTTCTCTTACCTCCACAGCATCTGGTAAGCACTTGCCCCAGGAGTGGCCCCGGGACCCCAGCCTTAGAGAAGCTTTGACCCAGATCCTGGGATGTGATGAGGGTGGGGGGTGACCTTGGTAAGGCTGGGAGGTCAGGAGGGGGGTTTCTGGGGCATATGGCACCTCGCTGTGTTCTTCTCACCCCTGCAGGCATTTGCTGATCAGCGCCACCTTCCCCTATGGCATGGCCATCATGCTCTTGGTAGATGCCCAGTACGAGATGCCGGAGAAAAGCCTTAAGCTGCGCTACTGGCCATGTGACACTTGGCCTGTGGGGGTGCCCTATGTGGAACTCCCTGACAATGGCAAGTGCTGCTGAGCCCTGCTGGTCTCCGCACGCTGGTCACTCTGCTGAGTCTCCTGGGCCTGAGGACAGAGGACAGGGCTGGAACATCCACCTGAGGAACACTTGCAGTTCTGCATCACCCCCCTTTTCTTTTCTTTTCTTTTCCTTTCCTTCTTTTCTTTCTTTCTTTCCTTCTCTCTTTCTTTCCCTTTCTTTCTTTCTTTCCCTCTTTCTTTCTTTCTCTCTTTCTTTCATCATTCAGAGCATTGGTGCTGTCCCAGAGCGTCTTTGTGCTCAAGGCTAGTGCTCTATCACTTGAGCCACAGCACCACTTCTGGTTTTCTGGTGGTTCATTAGAGATAAGAGGCTCACAGACTTTCCTGCTGGGGCTAGCTTTGAGCCACAATCCTCAGATCTCAGCCTCCTGAGTAGCTAGGATGACAAGTGGGAGCCACCACTGCCTGGCTACCCTCCCTGCCCACTTTTTTAAGCTCTTTGTTCTGGCCCAGAGTAAGGGATGGACTCCCAGTGACTCTGATGGCCTGGGTGATGACAGGTCCCTTCATGGCCTGACCCTGTCCTCCTTCACTCTCTCCTGTATCCACACTGTCCCCATGTCCTTGTTATGTAATTTCCAAGTTCTGGGATGACCACATGGTATGTTGCTGCTCTGAGTGACTGGAAACTGGGGCTTGCTGTCCAACACCTTGTCTGGATTGTTGGCTACTTTTAGATGCCCTGGGTCTGTCTTCAGACAATGCCCCATGGAGGGACATCCCAGAGGACAAACATGACTTAAGGGGACCCCATCCTACACCCATACCCATGTGGAGAGATCTTGCAGGCTCTGCTGTGTGTGCCTGGGGAGTGGGGAGGAACAAGTTACCCCTGTGGGTCAGCTAGGCCCACACTTGGCAGTCTGGGTGCTGTGAGGCATGGGGCATCAGAGAGCTCCAGGGGTGGCTGGTTCAGGCCCTGGGAGCCACGGAAGGGGGAGCGTTGGTGGGGGGAGTGGTGTGTACGTTCATGAGAGCATGAGGAACACCGTTGGTAGACGTAAGTGTGCGTTGTTGCTTGATCCCTCTCTACTTGCGTGAAATTGACAATGCTTATGCTCCTTGTCTGGAAATAACATTTCTCTGCTTGTGGATCTGTGTGAATAAACAAGCTGATGTGTAGGACGTACTGATACAGAGTTGTGAAGACACCTGCCCACCCACTGACATTCCTCCATTCCTCCATTGGCTTATCCATACATGTTCCCCGTCATCCACCCATCCACCCACCATTCCATCCACTCACTCATCTATCCAGCCAGCCAATAGCCCCCATCCACCCACTCATTTATCCATCCATCCAATCCACCGGCCCCTATCCATCTATCATCCATGTGCCCATCCATTCACCACCCATCCACTATCCATCCATCCATCCATCCATCCATTGCCCATCCATTAATTCATCCATTCATTTTTCTTTTTTAAAATCCACCTGTTCAGTTGTCATTGTGTCCATCTATCTACAGAAGCATTTTCCCATTCATTTACTTATCGATACATTTGTTTTCACCCACTGTCCATTCATCCAGCCCCCACATCCATCTACGCATGCATCCATGTATCCACCCTATTAACCTACATCCATCCATCACATTTGGTTCTCTATTTTCTATAATAATTCATCCAACCAAGTCATTCAACCAGCTTGCCATTCATCTATTTTCCACCATTAACCCATTCTTCCATACATCTATGAACTGTCTCAGGGGAAGAGAAAGCCATCCATTCTGGGAGTCATGGCAGGTCTGGGCTGAGCAGAGTGAGTGGCAGCGTGACTCCAGAGATTGGAATGACCTTGCCAATGGAAGGAAAGCAAGATGATACATGAAAGGTCCCACAAAAGAACACAAATAGTCAACAAACAAAACAAAATAAGAAACAACCTAAAGGAAAAAGTAGTGTCACAATGTAGCCATCGCCATGGGTGCAAAAAATGTGGACCACTAGAGGGCGGTAGAGGCTTACCATCCCAGATAGTCACAGACCCGAGGCTAAACCACAAGACACGCAGTGTTACTATGAACCTCTGGGAGCCTCATTTATCTGCCTCTAGGCTGTCTCTGCTTGTAGCATTGGACTGGCATGATAAAATAGATGCTCAATCAATTCCACAAGATCTATGATGCATTCTGCTGAATCCTCAAATTGTCATTTGTTCTCCGGTTTTCCTGAAGCCTTGATTACATGGGTGTGTCGAGATAGGAAACATTGTGCCTCCTTCAATAAGAATTCATTAGTCATAGGCCCAAAACTGAGGCCATAAACTGGGGTGACCCACTTCTAGAACACTCCTTAGCTTGCTTACCCCCAATACCCTCCCCCACTGAGGAGACTGAGGATGGTTAAGTTTGAAGCCAGCCTTGGCTTCATGGTGAAACTTTGTCTCAAAAAAAAAAAAAAAGGGCTGGGAAGGTGGCTCAGTGGTAGAGCGCTTGCCTTGCATGCCTGAGGCCCTGGGTT